CATCTGTTCGGGTATCCACCTCTGGCGGCCTTCCATTCTGGAGCTTTTGGCCGCGGAAAATTGCAATCGAGGGACATCTCTGCTTTCAACAGAGAGCTCATGGTTCTACAAAGACGGCCGAATCTTGCCACAAGGCGACCATGCAGTAAATAACATACTGTACATAACATCATGCATAGCTGTATAGTGTGTACGCATATTTATGTATGCATATGATACCTATATATAACATATGGCTCCAACGGGAAGTATACTTACAGGAATCTGACCGCAGCACTCCTAGCAAAGCTCTGGAAAGCAGATCTCACACGCAGAACGTTCCCTGGCAGATCACCTGACCGCAACCACGAAGTCGCTCGAAGCTGCTGGTTTAGGGTTTACGGATTTCGGAGTTGTTTTTGTTAAGGGCATTTTTCCATGGCATGATCCATGATCTGGGAGGTTTGGGGCTTGGAGGTTTCGGGGTCGGATTGAGGGAGGGTCTCCCAAGCTTGCAGTCTCTGGCCTCTGGACGCGTGTCCCACGGATGGGTGTAGTCCTAGCCGGCTGCTTATGCTCCGAGATCGACTGCGAGACGCCAGAAGTCTGGAGCAAGCATCATCGAAAATCCGGGCCTTAGAATCCAGAGGTTCGAGCTCCACCTGCGGAAGATACCTCACGAGACAAAGTCTGAGCGGGAGTTCCAGAACGTCGAGCAAACCTGTAACAAGGCTGCTGTGATTTAGGATTACTTGTGTGGGGATACATGAAATCTAAAACTCCCGAAGGGGAGCAAAAAACGCACAAGCTTCCCACTCGGCCTGCTCAAGTCCAGCTTGGACTTTGCATAGAGCTGCTGAGCCTCGCAAGGGGACTTTGAAAACAAGAGCGTGTCAGCACCCCTCTGAGGCAGACAAGCACCATCACCCTAACCGTCTATTGAGGATCCTTGTGTGAAGAATTTGGGGGCCTGCCCTAAACCCTAACCCCGAAACCCTAAACCCCTAAGCCCTAAACCCCAAATCCCTAAACCCCTTTTTTCTGAAACTCCCAGGACTCTGGGCCTCTTCAGCATTGCCAGCTTCAATTGCTGCCTCCATCTTCTCCACCTCTCTGCAAACTCAGAGACATCCGCAAGGCATAGGGCGATTGGGGTCTAGGGTTTAGGGTTTAGGGTTTGATGTCAGTGGATTCGAGCCTTCTTCGCAAAGGATCGGATAATCTTCACCTGCCCAGGAGACAGAGCCCTACTAGAGCATCTGGGAGATACCAGCCAGCAGAACCTGGGGCAGGTATTCTGGGATGTCCTCAGCACTATATCTGAAAGCTCCAGCCTCGGTCCCAAAAAGAAGCTTTCAGACGGTTTAAGGGTTTAGGGTTTAGGGGACATGAAGCCCAAATCTCTGCCTCTGAACATTTGTGGAGAGGGCACCTGGGCACCTTGCCAGCAGGTCACTGGCGGTTTTGAAATCCAGCCAGCGGGAGGTCCTCGTGACAACCGGACAGATGGGGATGTCACAATGTTCTCCGAGTATCTTCAAAAGTCCCCTTTCGCATGTCCTCTGTAGATGACATTCCTACTAGCTAAGATCTCTTGCTGGGTCCCCTACATTCGGAGACTCCCAAGTTATTTTAAACGCTCACCAACACTACCCGGCTACAAGCCAAGCTCACCCTCTGTGGCTCTCCACGGTCCTCTTCTCCTTCGTTTTGCATTTTGCGCCAAAGCCTGTGAAGGAAGATGTTGGGTGTCTAGGGATGTCTAGAGTTTGCCCGTGGCTCAAAAAGCCTACCTTTTTAAGGAACTGTATGCAGAAAGGATAACAAGAAACCCTAGGAAGGTAGGTCTTTTCAGCTGCAGGCTGGGGTTAGTTGCAGTGAGTTTTGCTTAGCACGAGAGTCTGAGGATGCGGCCACAGTTCTTAATGTCTTCTCCTCCCTTCACCTTGATGATGTTCTTGCCTCAGTCTCTTCGGACTTGCCCAAGGCCCCAACAAGAACTGCCTGGTTCCAGGCTGAAGAAATCCTCAATCAAGGGGTCCTGGGACTCTCCAGCCCCAACCGTGACTTCAAGAGGGACGGGAAACGCCTGCGAAGGCCGGGCCTTCAAGTTACCAGCCTTGATGGCTGGCTCCATCTGCAAGTACCTCAGTCGCCACACTCCCCAGACCAGGTCCTCTGTTCTCTCCAGCTTGAGCCCTGGGCTGATAGAGGCCTTGCTTAACGCGCCCGTAGAACCTGGAACGGCGTCTCAGTCTATGCAGCCAGCCGTCGACATGTTGTCACGTCTTCCGGTCTGCCTCCGCTTCCCCGACGGGATCGTGGAGTATTTGCCGGCCTCCGTACGTGTCAAAACGCCGCAAGGCCTCACTGTGCCGACCGAGGTTGCAGCGGTTGATCCGCCGCTTGCTAAAGCCGGCTCAGCCTCCACGTGTGTTGACGTGCAGGGCTGACTCAGCCTACCTGGCCGTGCATCGCACCTCTATCGCCAAGCCAAGGCCTGGCGGTATGCGCACTGCGCCAAACATCCCACGTCGCCACCCCGCCAGGCCTGCCAAGCCCGCGCCGAGGAGTTCACGGCGGCCGGCAGGTGCCTCGCGCAGCAGGTGTTCAGGGGGGGATTTTTCAGCTACTTCTGCGTCGCACAGGACAGTGCTTCCGGCCTGCGGCAGCAGCCATGCCTGGCACTAGCCCCGAGACGCTTCGGAGAGGAGTTTTCAGAGCGAGAGATGGGGCCTGGCTGAACACCCCATAGCACCCCCAGCACCAGGTCCTGAGATCGATTGGCATCGCCCCACTTTGAGACGACTGCACGCCCTCTCAGCACACCACGCGGCCACCGCGGCTGCAAGCGCCTTGGGCAGAAGTCCAACACAAGTCCCACATCCCACATTCTCAACTGCATCCGATTCAGAAACCCTTTCAACCCCGTTTCGATGCTGCTCATTCCTGCCTGCAGCCGGGTGGTGCGCACGCCACGGAAGCCCATCACGCCTGAAAGCTGAGCACCGCTTGTCGCTGAGTCTCACACACAGCACTGACCAAAAGCCTACGGAGACATTAGGATCTGTGCAAGCAGCCCGCCTGCCAGTATCGAAGCTGGATTAAGTCACCTTCGAGCAGGCAGGTCAGCCAAAGCCTAGAATCTTGGAAGCCGTTCAGGACCCCACCACAACGAACTGTGTCCGGTCGATCAAGGACGAAGCACATGATAGCCAAAGGCAGCGGGAAATCAAACGAAGGTTAGCTCGAAGTTGCGCGCAAAAAACAGCAACAAGTTGCCTAGAAGTAGCAACAGCAACTATCCGCCCTGTTCTTTGTCACGGCCCAGTACAGTCGACAGGCATCGTTGGAGTGGTCCTCTCAAGCAACTACACACACGCTCGGGCATCCGTATTGGAGGGCCCTTGTCACTATCAGCTCGGCTCAACTGCGAAGCCGTCCAGCACCGACCAGGGCCTCTGGCAAAACTCAACTTGCCGCAGACTCACCCTTGGCATGTCCCGCCTCCTCCAGGCTCACCTTGAGCTTCTTGCAAAGTGGGACCTTTCTTGCAAGATGCAACATAACTATAGTATACTGTACCACACTATACAATATCGTGATGTACCACAGGATGCCATCAGATACTTTCAAAAACAACAAGTTTATATAAGATACCATCATATACTTTTAAGATACTAGGAGTTTGTAAGGCCCGTCTGCTGTGTCTCTGGGGAAGCAGCCAAGGGCCCGCTGGTCTTCGAGACCTTGACCGATCGGGAGAGCGCCTTCACTGTGGAGTACCTGGTTTCGGCTTTAGGGTTTAGGGGTTTTAGGGGTTTAGGGGTTTAGGGTTTAGGGTTTAGAGGCTTAGGAGTTTAGGGTTTAGGGGTTTAGGGTTTAGGGGTTTAGGGTTTAGGGTTAGGGTTTAGGGTATAGGGTTTAGGGTTTAGGGGTTTAGGGACCTGGTGCTTCCTTGCGGATCGCTGGTCGTATGATATAGTGATGTGGCTGCATTACGGTATAGTAAAATATGGTAGCATTGCACGATACTACTATATAGTAATCTTACAATATCGCCTACAATATAGTAGTATGGCACTTAGTAGCATATAGCCTTATAGTCATATCACGGTGTAGAATACTGAAAGCATAGACCCTAAAATCCTCGCCCGGCGAGATGCAAGCGGGGGCACAAGGACTGGAGGCGAAGCACCGTCTCCTCGCAGGCCTCCAGGACCACCTAAGGCAGTCAAAGCCAAAGTGACGGGGCTTCGAGGGGTTCAGTCTAGGGGCCTTAATTATTAGAATAGGGTTCCTTTAAGAGGTTCCTTGAAAGGGATCTATGTGGTATACTATAAGGGTATCATGATGTAGGGGCCTTAATACTTAGAATAGAGTGTTGAGGCCCATTATACTGCAATGATAATAAGGAGCCCCCAAAAGAGTATGGGTAATTTATCTAGGCCCCTATATGCGACGGCCCGGCCGGGGTTCCGCACTCTTGGAGTTGACACGCTTCTGAGAAGCTTTGCGATGGCTGGCCAGGAGACCTGTCCGGATCTTGAGATCTCTTTAGCTTGACCTATGAATATGTATATATATATATATATATGTATATACATATGCATAACATATATATATATATATATATATATGATATACATATATCATATACATATATAATGCTGCGGCGCGGCACCCTCAAGTTATGAAGGGCAAAGCGCACAGCGGCCACAGCATGCTCCTCACATTCAACAGAAGAGGTCACGACGCCAAGCACTTTACAGGAGGGCTCCAGCAAGCTCCTCGCAGTCCGCCTGGGAGAGTTTCTGCACCAACGGCAGCAGCCTTCAGAGCAACATTTCGCGACTCCAGGGTGCGGATGACAATCGGAGAAAGGGCGTGGCCTGGCCAAGGACTGTACAGGAAGTGGATTTGGAGTCCTGGCTCCAAAAATCCGAAAGGCGTCTGGTCTATACATCAGTCTCCGTAAAGTGGCCGGTGCCGCAGCACGAAACGATTCAAGCAAGCTGCTGTCAAGGAGTCATCCCCACATGCCTGAGTCAGACGACCCGAAGCACGGACTTTCGAAAAAGACTGGCCTACCCAGGCCTCCAGCACTTGCACAAGCCCCGCGGCATCACCTGCCGCCCAGATGTCCTGCAAAACCTGCAACAGCGAGGGAAGCTAAAGTATAGTATGATATGCTTTTCATATACTACAATCGACTTCAACAGGCTATGATTCGACTGTAATGTACTGTAATCCACCATAGCATTCTGGAAAATACGATAATATTCCCATAACACATCATAATACACCATAACATGTAACCGGCAAAATTCGTGAACTGAAATGGCTGTCAGCGCGTGAGCTCTTGTTTTAAGACTCCAAGCCAATCAATCTCTCCGGACGGCACACCACCAGCCAAGGTCGGATTGGCGCGTAGCGAGGCGCTGTGAAGGCGGCTTCCTCCGATAGAGCCAACCTGGGTTCTTGTTAAGGAACTTAATTTAACTTACCATAATAGGGACCTATAGTAAAAATATGGATTCCTCATTATAGTAACTTACATTAAACTGGTCCATGCTTGGGGTAGTATCAAGAAGGAAAACTTCTATTCCTTCTTGGGCTTGAGTACCCATAAACATGTAAAACCTTGCCCAACTATGACAAAGCAACAGGCATTTCCTGAGTTCACCTGAAAAGCCACACACTGCCTGTTGCTCTCACAGCGCGCCCTGCAACCGTCGACGTCATCAACTCCCGGATAGTATGAGGCACCTCCAGGTGCTGGACCGGCTGGCTGCACTTCTTCAGCAGCACCCATGCCACAATGTGTCGATTCCAAAATGTCGTATAGGGAATCTTCGGCTGCGTCGTCCTCCGGCTCTGTACGGTGCGTCAGCGTCACTTTGCCACTTTCGCCCCCAAAGCCCATTGCCCTCAGTCCTACTGTGTATTCTACATTCGGGCGGAGCCCGTTCAGAGTGTATGTCTGTACACTCGTGAGAGCATCGAAGGTATCGTGGTCCAAGACTTCTTCGAGGGCTCCAGGGTCTACCCGCAGCAGATAACTGTCAGGTGTTGGACCCTCCGGGTGTGGGCGCCACTCGAGGGTAATTGACCGGGACCCCGACTTCGTGACGTGAAGAAGTTGGGGACGCTCCGGAGGGCCTATCAGTGCATCTCCCCTGCACCGGTCGTCACCCTCTTGACAGGTTCCATCATCATCTTCAGCATCGCACTGCTGATCGCCCAGCTGCACAGTCTTGAAGACGTCAGGCTGCTGCAAGTCAAAAGCCAGCAGGTTTTGCGGCAGCGGCATGGCGTCCCAATCCAGTACCAGATCGATATCCATGGAGCTCAAGGGCAGATATGTCGTGGGTCCGACACTGTCAGGGCCACGATACCGGAAGGCCCCGAACTGGCTGCTGTTTTCGCCTCGGCATCTCTGCAAGATGTCTACGAGAGCCACATGCACTCGCAGAGGCTTTCGTCAACTGAGAGAAAGGCAGAGCAGTCCCAGCATCGAGAAGTACTCGTGAGCATCCAGGATCTTGACAATCTTCTGAAGTTCACTCTTCGTCCACCTGGGTTTTTGGTGAGGGATTGAATGTAAGTTATCATAAGAAGGAAACCACATTATCTACCATAGATCCCTATTATGGTAGCCTAAACCTTACAGAGCCCTTCAGGGAACCCTTATAGATCCCTCTTGTGGCTAACTTAATTAACCCAGCCACACGTCATCAACTCGCAGCACGAAGACCGTCACTGATCTCGAGGAGAGGACCTTCGCGAATCCTCGCTCTAGCCTCGGGACAGCCATGGAACCTACGATACGATACTACACTATACTATACTGTACGATACTATTGTGTTCTATGCTATAACGTTCTGTGCTATACGACCGTATGAATGTTCAATACCATCCTATAATGTTCTATAATATGCCATACTCTTCTATAACACGCAATATTGCTGTGGACTCCCTGCCAATGCGGGCCGGGCACACATCAGCCATGCTGGCGATTCCTACATTCACATGCAGGAGGTCGATGTGTCTCCTGCCTCGGGGCACGCAGGACACGAGATGCAGCAAACCGACGAAATCCAGCCATAAATAGAATGGCTTTTGGGGTTCCTTATTATTTTCATTATAATATGGAACCCCTAACCTAGTACCATACCGAATTTTGGGGTCCTTATAATAGGGCTCCTACTATTTAGGGTACTATAGTCGGTCGCGCGCGGATTCCTTCAACTTTTCGCCGATTATTCCGTCAACCACTGACCGCCGATTCTGTCAACCCGGAAACGCGGATGCCTTCAACCTCAAAACCTGCTTCCTTCAACCTCAGAACGCAGATTCATTCAACCATGTCCAAGGAAATGATTCCTTCAACCCAAAGAACTGCTTCGTTCAACCCATACACAACCTGATTCTTTCAACCGCAGCACGCAGATTCACTCAACCCCCAGCACGCAGACGGGGGGGCGGAGTTGACGGAATCAGCACAGTATGCGTCGACGGAATCGGGCGATGGGGGTTGACAGAATCGGCAATATCCGGGTTGAGGGAAGCGGGCGATGGGGGTTGAAAGAAACTCACAATCTGAGTTGAGGGAAGCGGGGAACATGGTTGAAGGAAGCGGGGTTGAGAGAATCTTGGTTGACGGAACCGCGCGAAGTTGATGAAGAAGGCTTGCACCACTATAGTAGAGTCCAGGTTGCTGAGAACTTCCTTCCAGATGTCGTCCAGAGTCCTGGTTCGGGCCGTTACGGCCAGATCCGTCTGCCTGGAAGCGGCACACACCGCAGAACGTAGCACACCCACATATATATATATATATATACATATATATACATATACACATATACATATATATATATATATATCCCTTAGTTAAGGAATACACCATTGAAGGTGTGTTCCTTAATTCAGGGCGATTGGAGGCTTCTGGGGGGGGGAACAGTTCCAATGGGCAAGCGGCCTCCCGAGCAGGTAGCACGGATGGGCAGGATTCTCCATGGTCGGCCCACTTGCCCGACATCTCTCTGTGACCTGGGAAGAATCGACGGTCCATCCCTTTGGTCCATTAAACATACGACGGCATGCTTACTAGTGTTTTTATACATACTTTGTATACTAAATATACTATATACCAAAATTACTTTTTATAGTATATAGTGTCTATATATATATATATATATATATATATATAGTTGGTTGTCAACACTAGGGTCCCTAATTGGGTACCCTAAATAATGGGTGTCGTGATCTAATAAGGACCCAAAAAGGGAGCTTAATTTTACAACCACCCATATATACTTTTTTGTTTTTTGAACACCCGTTAGAGAAAGGCCTCCTCCGCGGCGGGGATCTTGCCGCCTTTCGTGTCGAAGAACACCTGCGGTCCAAGCGTTGCAGGAAAACTGCCTTCGGGCTTAAGGTTTAGGGTTTACGGCTTAGGGTTTAGGGGTTCGGGTTAGGGTTTAGGGTTTGGGGGTTCACGGGTTAGGGTTCAGGGTCTAGGGCTTAGGGTTTACGGCTTGGGGTTCAAAGGTTTTAACTCTGAAACCCTAACGGCCTCAAAGCCTGAAGTTTCAAAAATCCGGAACCCCTAGACCCTAAAATCATGGAAGCCCTGTAGCGCAACCCTCGACACCCTAAACCCTAAACCCCTAGACCTTAGTTTGAACGCCGAAAACTCCTACAAACCCTCAACCAAGAACTCTAAACCCTAAACTCCAAACTCCTAAAACCCTATAAGCCCGAAACCAAAAACTTTAAACCCTAAACTCCTGAAATCCCATAAACCCTAAACCCACCTGGGCTTCCTCCGCACTCCGAGGACCGAGACTTGCCCGCAGAGGCCGCACCTTCGAAGATGCCAGCAGACGGGAGTTTCGGAAAGTAAGCCCAAAATGAAGAAAAATGAGTTCAAAGGTTTCAGAAGGGTTGTAGAACAGCAATAGTAATAGTTGTAGTAATAGTAAGAGTAATAGTAATAGTAATCGTAATAACAATGACCATCATTACAATAACTGTAATTACCATAAAGCTTTTGTCAGGGCCTCATGTTAGAAACTTTCAGGAAAGATGGAGCCGAAATTTCGACCGTGAGTGGGGTAGGATCCTCCTTCTCGAGCACCTGAACAAACGATTTCCTGAACCCCAAACCCTCCTAAACCCTAAACCCCAAACCCCACCCTAAAACCCTGAAACCCTGAAACCCTAAAACCCTAAACCCTAAACCCCAAACCCTGAAACCCTCAACCCCAAGCCCAAACCCTAAACCCCCGACACTGAACCCGAAGCCCTAAACCCAAATCCCCAAGCCCCGGCCTAAACCCAAAGCCTAAACCTAAACCCTAAACTCTAAGCCTTAACCTAAACCCTAAACCCTAAACCCTAAGCCTCAACCTAAACCCTAAACCCTAAACTCTAAGCCTTAAACCTAAACCCTAAACCCTAAGCCTCAACCTAAACCCTAAACCCTAAACCCAAAGCCTAAACCTAAACCCTAAGCCTCAACCTAAACCCTAAACCCTAAACTCTAAGCCTTAACCCTAAACCCTAAACCCTAAGCCTCAACCTAAACCCTAAACCCTAAACTCTAAGCCTAAACCCTAAACCCTAAACTCTAAGCCTTAACCCTAAACCCTAAACCCTAAGCCTCAACCTAAACCCTAAACCCTAAACTCTAAGCCTTCAAAACAACTCTGGAAGCCCCCTGCCTGCAGGGAGCCCTTGGAAGCCAAAGGCTCCTGCATCTGGAAGCCCCAGGCTCTCCCCAGAGACTCCAATACCCCCTTAATTAAGGAGTATGCTTTAAATTATAGTAGCACTCTCTAATATGATTTAAGGAATATTCCTTAATTAAGGAGTATGCCTTAAATTATAGTAGGATCTCTAATATGATTTAAGGAATATTCCTTAATTCAGGGATATTGGAGTCTCTGGGTCTCCATGACTTAGTAAGGAAGGTAAAAAGCACCTGAATTGGGGTTATGAGAAATTATAGGTAGGTATAGTTACCCTAATCATAACCTGTTACAAAAACCGTTTACAAAAACAGTTTAGGGTTTTGGGCTGGGGTTTAGGGCTAAGGCTTCGAGGGTTTTTTGGGGTTTAGGGCTTTAGGGTTCAGGGTTTAGGGCTTCGCGCTTAGTGCCATGTTTAGGCTTAGGGTTTAGCGATATATATATATATATATATATGGACACACCCCCCCCCATGACCTACCTCGGCCTCTTTTCCATTGTAAATACCGTCAAAACCTTCTCTTGGCAGGGATTCGCGTTTGGCATACGATTCGTGTTTTGCGTAATTTTCGGGGATGATACCTTCTCTATCATGGCTGATGTGAAGTCATGTCTCTTTACAACGTCGTGCCTACTCATGTCCGCTTTCAAATTCATATGCCTGTATTCATAAGCAAGAAACATTAAAAGAAACCATACGATACGACGGCGGAAACCAAAAAACCAAAAATCCAAAAATCCAAAGCCTTTCTGAGGGGCCCGAAACTTTTGGATTTTTTGGTTTTCCTAGGTCTTTTTTGGTTTTTTGGGCTTTGCCTTGGCGAAACCATGGCTTTTTTTGGATTTTCGGTGGAAAACCAAAAAAACACAAGGTTTTTTTGGTTTTTCTGCTGTGTCTCTCGTGAAAAACCAAAAAACACCTGTGTTTTTTTGGATTTCTGCTGGAAAACCAAAAAAAACCTTGGATTTTTTTGGATTTCTGCTGGAAAACCAAAAAAACCTTGGATTTTTTTGGTTTTCTGTTGGAAAACCAAAAAAACCCTAGGAAAACCAAAAAATCCAAAAGTTTCGACCCCCCTGACAAAGGTTTTGGATTTTTGGTTTTTTGGTTTTTTGGATTTTTGGTTCTCGGAGCCTTAGAGCCAATACAGCGCGCAGCATGCTTGATCGGAAATGGTTTCGTTGTTTACGCGCAGTAGTCTTCAGATGTGCATTAGGCATTAGTGTTAGTATTAGTATCTGCGTTCTAGCGTGTTGATTCGTGTTACTGTTAGTGTTGGTGTCAGTGTCAATGTCAATTCCAATGTCAGCGTTAGTATTAGTCTGAATATAAGTCTATACAATAGGTGTACTAATGGTAGTGTTAATGTCTAGTGTGAGTTTTAGTATTCGTATTAGTCTTGGTCTTAGTCTCTGCCTTACTCTTAGTGTTAATATTAACCAGTGTATAGTCTCATAGTCTATGGTAACATTGGAATAGTAGTATACGAGTATATTATTTATTGGTATGTGAAAATACAGATTCTTTGGTACATTGATGTGTCTGTTTTTTGTATTTGGTTTGAACGTGATTATTAGTATTCGTAGGAGCATTAATATTGGTATCAATAGCAGTATCGCTGTTCATACTATGCATAATCGTATTATCTGGAGTATCAAGTGGTAATACTGCTATTCATGTTAGTGTAGGTTTTTTAATGTGAATATAAATACTGAGAATAATTAATAAGACTATGCGCATTAATCTGCGGAGGAACTGTATCACTTATGTGCATATTAGTATTAATGTTAGCATTTGCGTGTATATTGGTAACAAATAAAAAATAAAATTACTATCAATATGGGTATGTTTTTTAATATTCGTAGGAACACTAGTATTCATATTAGTATCGGTATTACTGAAAGTACCCGTCTTCGTAAAAGTATTTGTAATCATACTAATTCATATCAGTACGAGTATTAAGATGAATTATGATGCGCATATGAATACTTTCGAAGGAAATGCTGACCTTAATACGAATACCCATATTAATGTCCTATTATGTATAATCGCAGTAGCCTGAGTATTGGTATGAATATTCGGACAAGTATTAGTATTCCAAACAACTAGTACTATTAGTATTCATATTGAGAACAGTTAATAAGAATATGCGTATTAGTATCCCCAGGAGTGTTAATATTCCCATCAGCACTACTATTCGAATTAGTAGTGCAATTTTTAATACTAGTATTAACCATTAAGCCTATTATGTTATGAACACTAATATCCTTATTCGTAGGAATAGAAATCTTAGTATCAGTATTAGTATTCGCACTAGTAATAGCTATTATACACATTGGCGCATGAGTAACCTAAGAGCTTCACACAGAATAAACATGTGTGCACACGTAACCCTCATTACGATCCTAGGTAGGATGCACACATCGTTCTGTTTTGGTCCCGTCTTTGGGTTATGCCTATGAGTACATGAACAAAATTAAAAACAGACAATGACAAACACAAAGTTACCCGGCGCATCTAACGATCTTACGTAGGATGTAGACACTGTTCTGTCTTGGTCCTGTCTTCGGGTTATGCCTATGGTCATTATATGACCAGAGTTATGAATATCCGGAACATTTAGGCAGTATCCTATTAAACAATTGCAGGCATTGAAGCTTGCCCAAATCCGCCAACGGCGATGTCGCGCCGTCGTAGGTCATTACAGTGTATTCAGCTATTGATTATACACGATATACGTTTCCATTGTTTATGTATGAGTGTATTTTATCCTAATGGTTTCCTCAAATCCTTACATGTTCTACTACCCATTGCTAGCCGAAGCACCTCGCGGTAGGTCTTGGGGGGGGGTGTGAGCATATATATATATATATATATAGGTGGGTTTAAGGTCTAGGGTCTGGGTTTTACTGCATGTGGGGGAAACTCAAAAAATCAAGGACACCTCATAGGTCCTATTCGGGATGCTGCCGGTGCTAGCCGGGGCCTTTTTTGGAGACCAGCTTTTGTCGAAACTCCCCTGCAATCTCCTTGAGACTCTCCGTCCAGTGCTGCAGGTATGCCTCCACAGGATCCACCGCGAGCACCATGCCCGAGTGGTTGAAATATCGGAGCCACAACGACGCGGAGGACCAGTTCCTACGTGCTGCCGACACTCTAGACCCTAAGGATCCCTCGGGCGCAGTGTGCCGGGTCCAAACTAGCCAAGCGTGTCTATGATCGCATAACATGGGGACTATGCAGGGATCCATTTACTCACATGAGGCGATCATCAAGAGGTTTGCTCTTTCTGACCGGGCCACTGGAGGGGTCCAGCTGCCGGCTGTAGGCCAACTTCCACCAAGACCCGCCTTTGGTGCAGGGCTTTTTGCTAGAGCCATGCGCGTGAGTCAGCGCACTTCGGCGTCTTCCCAGTGGTGCAGGGCTTAGGGGGCTTTGGTTCAGGGTTTAGGGTTTAGGAGCCGTTGATTCCGGTTTTGGGCTAAACCCCAACTGAAGGAAGCCGAAGATTTGCTGAACCCTCGGAAAGCAGCGGGCAGTCGTCGCTGAGGACTTCTCGCAGCTGTTGAAAGAAGTGCTCCAGGGTCGCGGCAGCCCTTGCTGCGGGAAAGTAGCCTGACTTCGGAATATAGTTATAGTGTTTAAATAGTCCTAGTCATAGGAAAAATCATAGTAATAGCAAAAGAAATAGTACCAGTAATAGTAATCGTAATAGGAACCGTAGTGATAGTGATAGTTAGAATCACAATCATAGACATAGTCATAGCAACAGAAGTAGTAGTCATACGAATGCGGTTTAGGAGGATGGTCAAAAAAACGACTGCTGCAGCATCCTGGCCTAGTGGGCTTTCTTTGACTCCCAGTAGTTTCAATCCGCCCGGTTCAAGCTCATCGTCGCGGAACCTGAGTTCATGGCAGTTCGGCATGAGGGACAGCTTTACCGCACGATGCCTTGCTGCTTACGAAGGAGGCCCACGCTCAAGAAGCCACAAACGCCTGCAAAATCGTCGATGCTGCCCGGCTGCGCCCGATTGTCACACGTTGGCCAGTCGTCTGCCTCGAAGGACAGCAGACACGCTCGAGGCAAGATCATGGAGACTGGATATCCGAAGCTCCGGCACTCCCCAGGTTGGCAAGAAGCAGCGCCAAAGCCAACAGCATCCTGGCGCAGCCCATTCTCGAAGGACTTCTTACAACATACGAACTGAGGATCTGACGATCCAGCCCATGGGCTGCAAGAAGCACACCATGGAAGCCGGGTACTCCGTCTGCACTGATTTGCAACTGTCCCTTCCCTGTCTGACACCATGTATCTGAGTTTCGTGTTCACGTTGGCTGATGCTCGGTGCATCTTGGGGTAGTTTGCATCTCATCATCTTTGAGCCATGCAGCTTTCTGAGTCTATCGAAAGCCCAAGCTGAAGACATCTTCAAAAAAAGACACAAGAAAAAAGGGCTGGTGCGTGGGAGCTTACGCGCTGGCCCAGCCTGCACTGATCGCAGACGGCCGGCCAGGAGCCTTTTGGCTCCTGCATGCTTGGCCTGCAGACACAGACAGCGAAACAACCCGCAACGGGTCTTGTTAGGGTTCTAGGCTTCAGGGTTTTTTAGATGGTTTCGGGCTTCCTTAGCACACGAGGCTGGCTTGTGATGCCTCCACCGCAGTGCAAGCGGCTGCTGCGCGACTGGACCACACACCTGGCTTGGAAGCTCCAGCGACCCTTGGCCAAAGCAAGCTTGGCAGCCGGACTGGCGGCAGGAACGGTCTCCGCCGGCTGCACCTGACAGTGCCATGAAGACTTCTCACATTTAAAACCTGCACATTTGCACAGTCATTTGCACAGAGGACAAAAGACCTCATGGCAATCGCAATTCGGCCGGCCCGCATGTATAACGAGCAACAACAGCTGCTTTGCCTCTCTGCCCGCTGCTTTTTGCAGGAAACCGTCCTGTGCTTCGCACATGCGGGTCGCAGCATCCAAGAAAGGCACGCACAACTCACCACAATCTCCTCCCGCTTAGCAGTTTGGCGGAGCACACTTCTGAGCTGCTGCGACAGTGAAGATTCCTCAGTGCCCAGATTCGCAACCCATGCAAACATCTGCAGGACAGATCGCCATCATCATGCCCAGGCCTCACCGTCACCAGTGACGCCTGCCGAGCACTGCTAAGTGCAAGGCAGTGGTCGCCTGCAAAACCCTCTTTTTGGCCTCCATACCACGCGGGCACTTGTAGCGGGTCAATCGAGAGGGACGGTACAATCTGCGCGACTTTTTTGGAAGAATTACTGCTGACTTGCTGAAACCGCTCCGCAAAAGGAACATCCGCAACAGCCTTTTTTGGAAAGGACGAGGCACAATCACATTGGCGCTCTCCACGTCGCTGGTGAAATATAAAAGCAGAACACATCTGCAGAAACTGCCGAAATGTACGTCAAACTTTGCGTCCTCGCAAGGGCGTTGGTCTCTGTGCCACAGTCAAGGCCTGTGCAGATCTGCTGCAAAGGCGGCGACTCTGCTTACCGACAAGACACTAAACACTGTGAGGGTGCCTGCATCAAGTCCTCGTCGCAGACCTGAAGGTTAGACAGGGCCTGGGCCACGGAGCGAACTGGCACCGTCGAGCTGCGCAGCAGCCTGAGCCACAGTACACGGTCCCGCAGACAATTTCTGCAGAAAGTGTTGCTGAATGCCTGAGTCCCTGACGCAGGCAGTAAACATTTCCTGCACATTCTGTCTCTCGTGCTTGCAGACATACACAGGCAAAGTAAATGCGCAGCCCGGAGTTCCGGAAGTGAAGGCAGAAAGCCGAATAAAGGTCCAGCAATCGATGTTGTTACCGTGATTACAACATCATGCTATGCATGACACTTCTGTCAGAAAAGCATCAGTCAAGGAAGCTGATGCTGATCAGAAAGAATGTTGGTACTCAGCCCTAGGGAATGCTGACTAGACCACAAAGCCTTTCGAACTGCCGGACACATCTTATCCTAGCCCTCCGCCCGTTGGAATCACTCGAGGCTCTTTGAGCCCGGTCACTGTCGGTCTCTTCATGCTAGCATGTGCACCCCTCTCCACTCGCGCCTGCTTATCCTCTGCGAAATCCCGGCCGCCTCGTGGCAACGTACATCCTGAGCCAAGGCTACCGATGCTTCTGGAGCTGCCATCCGGCATCACGCAGCTGAGCTGCTCCGAAAGCGGTTACGAGCTTGGCCACAGCTTCAGGCGAAGGACACCTCACAGGGCGAATCTGGATGAAGGCCTGGTATGCTCATCTCAATGTCATGCCGTGTTTGAAGCAGCCAAGAGCCTGGAGGTGGCACCTTCTGCGAACTCGCGCTCCAAGCGTTGGGACCTCGTCTCTGCCAGTGTAAGACCCAAGCCTTCCCTGGACCTCTCTCTCTCAGGTCGAGGCAGTGCCACAAAATACCTCATGAACGCCTCCCCGCTGGTCGTCCCATCCTCCAGATGTCTGCCAACGCCTAACTCCAAGCGGCACCATTGAAGCGCAGAAGCCTGCATTGTCTTGTACACCTCGGCGAGAGCGGCACCCAAGTTTGCCGCCTCCAACACACAGGCACGACTTACGAGATGGGAGTTTCCGAAAATAGGGGATCCTAATATAGTACCCAAAAGAGTAGGATCCTTATTATGAGGACCCCAAAATAAGGTACCCCGAATTTTCGGAAACCCCCAGATGTCTCTCTCTGTGGTACCGAAGCAGAAACACACGGTAAAGCGCCTCAGAGAGGGAGAGATGCTTGAGTCCGTCCACCCCGCGCTCGGCACTCAGGATCCACAGCTCCCGCGACACCTCGTGGGGTGGCGAGGCCCTAGGCTCACTTGGTAGTTTCCGAAAATAGGGGACCCTAATATAGCACCCTGAATTGTAGGATCCTTGTTATAAGGACCCAAGATAAGGTACCCCTAATTTTCGGAAACTTCCACTTCGAACCAAACTGCATCCATACGAGCCACGGAATGTACAGAGCCGCCTTTCGCAAGCGCGTACCTGCCACCACTGGTGCTTGCAGTTGCACACATGTTGGGGAAACATGAGACACAGGTCACGCAGTCACAACGAGGTTTTGTGGTGAGACCTGTCCAACGTCTCCTGAGGACGACAGCACTCAGGTCAATCAATACCGGCTTCCACCATCACGACATGGTTGGTCAATGTCTTTGGCTGGTCTGGCTGGCTGGTCAACATGCTTGCTCGCAGCAGCCGGAGAATTCACGACATGTGTCACAGGCCTTTGAGCAAGTTCAGGAAACGCGAAGACACTGCGTGCAGCAAGCCCATGCCTGGTCAACAGTGGCAGGGCCGGGAGTGCCCCTCGAAATACAAGAGCCCACTTTTGGCGGCGAAATGGAAACTTTCGTGGTCCGGGTTGGGCTCGGTTGGGCTCGGCTGAATCAAACGAGGTCAGACTAGTCTTCCATGTTGGTTGAGGGTCGAGGTTTAGGGCCTTAGGGCGTAGGAGCCCACACCCTCGTCGATGGAGGTCGCCTTGTTGCCTTGTTCGATTTAGGATACGTACGGCGAGGGGTAGAAACCCAAAGCCACCCTAAAGCCTCAAGTCTGAAGTAGGCCTCGAAGCGAAACTTTCTCATCACCCTGTCCATCCATGGCCACACAAGTGCCAAAGCCGGCGGGCCTGAAGGTTGGCTCACTGCCGAGGCCTGGATCAAGGCTTGGGATACTAGAAGACTTGCTGTAAGGGTTTATGATTGAGTTTAATGGGATTCAAAAGGGTTCTCTTTCGGGTGTCACTCGGGATTTAGGACGAAGAGGATAACTGCAACGGCTTGGTTCTTACAAGGATTCTCCATGCTTCTTACAAGCGTTGGTATGCAGTAGAGGCTTCGGTTTAAGACCAACTGTCTAGGGGCTTGGAGGTCTAGGCCTGAGCGGTTGGAGTCTTGGTTGGGGTTTCAGGGTTGAAGACACGTCGCGTGCTTGGCTTTGGCTTCACTGGGCCTTGGTGGCCGCGAAGATGATGAGCGAAGCGCTTTGGCCATCACAGGATTTGGCAAGGCGGCTCCTCAGCTGCTCCAAGCTGGGCCAAAAAAGCACTGAGGTCCACTCTAAGTCGAGAGCGCACGGTCCCAGATTAAGGGAAGAAGGGAGCTTTGCACCAGGCTGACACGAACCTGGCACATGCTCACATGCCTTGCACCACCTTGCACCGACCACTAGAATCGCCACACTGACATCTGCCGAGAACTGGTGTCAGGTTCGAAAGTCAAGCCAGGGCAGCAGGGCGTAAGCATGTGCTAGCATGGCAAGCCTTGCCCATGTCAGGCGCAGGGCAGAAGTCCGCGGATGCACTGAGCCGCTTAGCTTCTCACTGGCGCATGTCGCATTCAGGCGAGTGCAGGAGGGCCTGGGACATCGCACTTCCTTCTGACTTCATACGGAGCAGAAAGGCACTGTGAGAACCTGGCCGGCAGGATCTCTTGGCAAGCGACGAAATACGGTTCATGCCGAACCGACGCTGTTGAGAATGCCTGTCGTCATGTCAGACAGAGTAATCATCTGTACGTGTCACAAAAAATGCGAACGTCCCCTGACTCCCACCAGGTACTCATCACGTGCCCGTCAGCTGCCCCTAAAGTGTCGGACCGCACATGAGGCCTGAGGTTTTACCCACAACGTACAGCATTCAACAAACTTGGTTTCAAACTACTGGTAGTTTGCTGTTGCGTCTGCGCGCGTGGCACCTTACCTGGAAGGCTCTAGTGACTCTAATAGGAGGGATTGCGGAAGCATAGTGAGCCAATGGCGAGCAAGACAGGCCTCAAATCGGTTCGTGGGCAAGTCTGACTGCAAGAGATGTGCTTCGTGTTGCCCCTGCCGGCTCCCTTCACCAAGCCGAGCGACATTCAAGGCAACGCAAGCTGCCCGCAGCTGCATCTCTGCCTGCAACATCCAAGCTGAGAAGGCTTACTGACTGCCGGTGCTTGCCTGGCCCCTCATGTCTCCTGGCTCCATAGAACTTGACCTCAGGGCTCTTGACGTCTGAGAAGCCTTGAGTCTGGAACTTCACATCTCCGGGCGAAGCGCACGTTCAGTAGCTGGTATCCCAACCTCCAAGACGTGCCCCCTCTCGCCGTCTCTCGGCTCTCCCCTCGACAGTCATACTCTCACCCAGAACTCATCTGCCAATAAGAGCGCGAAGGGTAGGGACACTGTGAAGGGAGACGAAACAGTCAAGCTTGAAGTAGACACAGCTCCGTTTCGGAAGCCCTGAGACTTTTTTTTGCCTCCCGCCGGGTCAGGACATCCGGCATCCGCCTGCCATTTTTCTGGCATGCTCAAGCTGGGTGAGAAGTTCCTCTCTGCTGGCCGCCAGCTCGGCCCCTCGCTCCTCCAACTCGAGGCGCTGCGCCTGGATCACGGCGCTCTGGTCTTGAATTGCGAGAGCCTCATGCCGGAGGGCATCCAGCTGCTCCCTCACGTTCCTCTCCGAGATGAGCTCTGACAGAGATGTCTGGAGAGTCTCCAGGGATCGGATGTGTTGGTTGGAGACCTTTCCGACCGTGCTCTTCAGCGACTGGAAGCTCCTTTCGTCCACCTGCGCTCTCGGGGGAGAAGGCCCATGCCGGGAAGCCCGGCCGGAGCCCGAGGCGGAGCCCGAGGCGGAGACCGAGCCAAAGCGAGGCTCCAAGGGCTCCTCAAGGCCTTGGAAGGAGATATTTTGGGCACTGCCCGCGCTGCCCGCGCTGAGGCCCAGGTCAGACAAGCCGTCCAAGGCAGAGGGCCTCTGTCGAGGACGACCCTTCGGCAACTCCCCAAGATCCAGTTGAGTCTGTGGCTCGGAATCGAGAATGGTCTCAGACTCTCCTAACTCCGGAGCAAACATCAGAGGGTCGTCCTGGAGCCAGGCTGCCGCGTTCCTGCGCTCTCGAGCGTGCGCTCCCAGCTGTTCCAACTCGGGAAGGCTCGTCTCTCGTTGGAGGCTCGAGCATGCGAGCAAGAAATCCTCCTCTCCGAAGAAGTGGACTTCCTGAAAGGCCGTCATGAAGCGGCTTTGGAACACCTCACATAGGACCTTTCCCACTGTGCTGGGATCATTCAGATACCTGCCGCAGCCCAGCGCCGGCACGACGAGAGTACGGGACCGGATGGCCATGGCTAGCTCGAGGCTACACGCGATCTTCGCGAAGAGATGCCTTTGATACTCTTCGGCGGAGTCGGGGACATCGCAGGGCTCATCCAGATCCTGGTTGCAGTTGGGCATGGCCATGGTGATCACCGATGCCAAGAGGAGGGGGTTTTCCAGGAATGGAAATCCAACTTCCGGACCGGCCCGGAAGATCTCCACATTGGGGCTAAGGACAGCCCCGTACTCGGGGATGTGGACATCCCAGGACGTGCCATTCACCGGTCTCGCATGCTTCGAGGCCCTCACACCATGCTCCGCAGCCATCTTGCTGGCACGCCGGAGAGACATCTGCAGAGTCGATTGCATGCAGAGCATTTCTTCAAACTCAACGGCACCTCCTTCCACAAAGTTCCCACCGATCTTGTAGGGACTCCCTGCATTTAGCACCGTCACGGAACGCTCTGCCGCCAGGCCAAGGAGGACTTCCGTCAAGGAAGAGTCCTCGGCCTCGTGAAAGACAAACTCGGTTTCAAAGGTCTCTTCCTGCTGCGTCGTGCCGTCCACATTGAGCACAACATGAGTGCCCTCCAGCGTCTCTGGCAGATTTACTAAAGGCACATCTGCTTCATTGAAAGAGTATCTGCCAAGACGGCAGGCTGCTGCAGTCAGCCTGGCAGCTTCTAGCCGCATGTTCCGCAGCTCTTCATCTTGCTGGGGATCTCCCGTATCAAATTCAATCCACTCGAAGCTGCCATCAATAGCTTCGAGGGCACCATCGTTACCAGAAAACGCACGTCCGATAACAAACACCTCGCTGACTTCCGCTTCCCCCGGAACAGTTCCTTTGGAACTCAGCTCGCGAGCCATTCCATTGCAAGCTTCTCAGCAGGAGTACTGTAGACTTCGTTACTCTGTGCTGTGTCTGAGGCTTGGTTGTGCCAACACTGGCTGACTTGGCAGGTTTAGGTTGGACCCAAGCATTGGTGCTGAAGCCAGCCAGCAACCATGCATGTGTTTTTGCGTGCTGTGGGACCAGAAACTTCCCTTCAAGTCAGTGCCTGTGGAATAGCTCCACATGTCCGCTCCGCTCCACATCCGAGAGCTTTGAGAAGGCCTACAAAGACCCCGCCCAAAAGAAAGCAACCGTGAGATACTGCCTGTCTCAGTCAACCAGGAAGCTGGCATTGGCCAGGTTGGACAGCTCACCAGCACCGAGCCTGCGCTGGGAGGACTGGGAGGACAGGCTCAATTCAGAGAGAGAAAGAGAGAAAGAGAGAGAGAGAGAGAGAGAGAGAGAGAGAGGGAGGGAGAGAGGGAGAGGGAGAGGGAGAGAGAGAGAGAGATAGAGAGATAGAGAGAGAGAGAGAGAGATATATATATATATATATATATGTGTACATACATATATATATATATATACATATATACATATATATACATATGGATATATATGTATATGTGTGATATGTAGAAACCTAGATATATATATGTATATATACATTCAGAATCGGAATCTCAAACTCGTACTAAGCTCTTGGCTCGATCAGCGATGCATCATCCAACAGTCTCTTCTCAATCTCCTGCATGCAACCCACAATTCCTGGGACAAAGAACAGTTCAAGAACAGTTCAAGGCTGGTCCTGAAACAAGCCTTTGTCCGCTCGCTGCGGAATCTGCGCCTTCAGCCCAGCTACCAGCAGCGCAGTTTCTTGCTTGTGCTGGACAAAGCCCAATACGTAGGCGTGCGCTACCAGGCATAGATCAGATGCCGATATTGCCGCGTCTGCTCCTTGATGCATGCACGGCTGAAAACAGCACGTTAACTGCTCGCGGCAAGCCTGCTTGCTGAGCCAGTAGACGCTGCCGAAGCCTGAGCACACTCTCAGGAAACCTGAATCGACACTGTTTTACACTCCGGTACCCGCGCTCTTCGTCGGAACATCGTTGTCGCCGTTTCGTTGTCGATGAAACCAGTGATCTTCGAAACGAACGTGCTCTCACTAACATCTTTCACTTGTCGTCGACAAGAAGCTGGGCTTTTATGCTCTTTCCCTTTCTACAATTTGGAGTTTTGTGTCGGAGTTAGAGATGTTCCTGTCACACCGTTTCGAGGTGTGCTGCAGGTTGGGTCTCTGCCCGATGAATCTTTTCAAATCTCTGCCACAGAGGGACAGGTCGCCGATCAAGCCAATGTGCGACGACAGCTGGTCCGTGTGCTTTGGTTGGGCTTTGACGCCAGAGAGAGATTGCAGCTGGAAAGGACGTCAACAAACGGTGGAGAACAGATCGTGTGAACCCTGCCCCGCGACGCCCTTCACAACAAAACGGTCCACTTGTCTTCATTGTTTCTCTTCGTAAGAAACCTGCAGTCAGTTTGCAGCTCAACATCATGGCAAACACACACAGAGATAAGCATGCTCGCACAGGTCTTACTGCCTGTAAGCACCGGACTCCTGCTGCATCCCCAAGAGCAGTTTCAATGCAGGGCCTTGCTTGACCGCACACTGGCCGCTTACAGTCAGAATCAGACGAGGCTGCAAGGACTGGACCGCATCCTCCCGTCGCCTGGATAAGACCTGGATCGCTTCCACTACATGCAGCTACACAGCTCCGGTAGAAGTGGACATGACAGAAGCAGTGACCAAGCTCTGATGCTCAGAAAGATGCTACCGCTGTGGTGCACCAATCGACACAGGACACGGCCTGAAAGCTCAGAAGAACCTGCGAGCGAACGTCTGCGATACCACTCGTACTTGAGACTGCCGGAGCCCCAGCAACCGAAAGCCAAAAAAGAGCCCAGGCCACTCTGCAAAGCGCGACCGCACAACTTGGCCAGGTCGTCCCCGGAGGCCTTGCCTCCCATACTTGGATTTTGCCATGTGCCCTCGCCACCCCCATGCTTGACACTTTCAGCATTCTCTGGGCCCAGCCCAGGCTGAAGTTCTGGGCAGCGGCAAAGCTCGCAAGCAAAGCCTCGCAGGCACTCGGACGATCCAGCTGAATCTAGCTCAAGACCCAGGGCTGAAAGGGACAAGCAAAACACCAAGTCCGTGGCATACTCAGGAAAGGACGCCTGGACACCATCCCCAGCTCTCCCACAGCGAAACTCCCCCTGCGCGCGCACGCGCCTTCTTCGCAGGACGGCCGCCTCCCGGCCTGGCCTACCAACATCAGAGCCGTCAACTGCAAACAAGGAAGAAACGGCTGCTCTGCTGCTTCGGAGCCTTCAAAGCCCCAGGCTGCCTCTTGCGTGCAAGAAACACGTGGCATTCCGTCTCTCTCTCTGCTCTCTCTGGGCTCCCAGCACGCTTTTTCTTCGATGCTTCCGCCCACTGGTGGGAAGGGCTGCCTGAGATCTGTGACCGACTTTTTGGCTACTGGCATCCTAGGGCATCCTACGGTTGCTGACATAATATATCCTGCATTACCTCAATGACCCGGGTCGTGCAGGATATACATATATATATATATATGGCATATATATATATATATATACTTTTTTTCCTATATCATCAACCGTAAGGCATCCGAGTCTAAGTGGGGGACTGTGGCGACCGTCGCCAGCGTGTTCGAAGCGTGTCCGGGTGCAGACCGAGGAGATGCAGCTGGGGCAGAGCGGCTCTGAAGAACTGCTGCTTTGAGGCTTGCTATGACAATAAACTACATATAATATTATGTTATTTCATGTTTGCAGTACCACATGGATCTACAAGGGACATCCCCTCGAGGCCTGGCATCACGGCAAAAGAGGCCAGGATCTTCAGCAGCTCTGGAACAAGGGAGGCGTCGCGTCGGTAGTCGGCCTGTCAGAGGAACCGCTGCTTCATCACTGGGCCTTCCAAGATGATCACGGCGCCTTCATGAAGCAGAACAACACCAAAGAAATATCACTGGGAGTGAGCCGATTCCTTGGCCCAGGCCGCACTGAAACAGGGATAGGGAAGCACCGAGGCTAAAGAATGAAACTTGGGCGCCCGCTGCTCGGTCTGCACGGCTTCCGCGAAAGTGTCCCAGAGCATTGGATCCCAGCGCTTCTCCACGCATGCCTCCGAGACTTAGCGAACTGCATTGCAATGCAGCTCTGCTCGAGTTGGAACTGCACCTTAAGCATTGTTCGGATCAAAGTCGTCGAATCATCCTGTCGATGTCGCCTCAGAATCTTCCCGATGGGGCCTGCCAGGAGAAGCTGATCTGAGACGGCTGCAGCTCAGCTGAACCTCGAGCCTCGAGCCGCACCAACAAGCTGACCTCGCTCCGCCTCCCCTTTGCCGCAATGAAAGAGCCCGAAGCTCAGAGCCATTGCCATGTGCCAAGAAGTTCCCGGTCTGGGCTCACCACGCTCGTGGTAAGCATTAACGAGATCGAAGGGAACTTGGTCAAGGATCTCCAAATGCCGCAACCTCGAAGGGAGGTCTTCCACCCACCTCGAGGCCGCGGATGCGGCGGGCCGGGTTCCCGGGCCTCTCCCCACGCGTGCGAGGCAGCTGCAACAGGCCGACAGGAGCCTGAGCCTCTGGGAATCTGCCCAAAAAAAGCCCTCAGCCATTCGTCCAACACGTGCAGGGCTGCCTGGGCCAACTCTGTTCGGGGATCTTTGGCCCCCGAAAAGCTGGAGATGCAAGAACCTCGGCAAACTCCCGAGCGTTCGAGCGAACAAGACTGCCTCTGACACCAGACCACTTGAGCTCGGTGTGATCTGCAAAGCATGTCCTGTGCAACAGCCCCGCATGGCCCTAAACCAGACTTTGGCATCTCTGTGACTTCAAGACTCCTAAAACCAACCGTCCATCCTCACACCCGCTTGGCCAGCGGCGTGCACATCGTATCGCCCAAGCCTCAAAGCATGACTATGACACCTTCAGCTCACACAGCTAACATGCCAACTTGAGGTCTCGGCACTGTTCCTAACAGCTGTCCGCGATGTCAGGAACATCCTTTGCTGACCTGAAAGGAGTACACGGATCTCAACGGCTGCAAAGACACATAATTTCGGCAAAACAGCACCATGCGACCAGGGGGCTGCGGCTGCATGCTGGCCGTAGCTGGATAGGCGGTTTCCAGTTCCCTCTGTGTTTCTGCTGTTGTCATCGTCTTACTACAAGCCAGCCAGCTGTCATCAGACATGGGCATAAGATGGCCAGAAATATCTGCTGGGCAGAAACCAAACGTCTGGTGGAGTGAAGGCACGGCCTCTTCACATGAACTCTGTCGACAGAGTAAGTCGAGGATGGACCTGCTGGCAGAGTCGGCGAATACTTCTCAGCTCTTCTCAATGACATGACACACGGCGCACACGTCTGAATAATCTGGTCCATATCGAAAACGTAGGTCCTGAAGAGCATGACACCATGTAAATGAGGTTGCCAATGAAACAACTAAATTCAGAGCGCTTCGCTGGTCACCCTTCGACACATGAACCCACCGCTGTACGCTTTCGGATGAACGAAGTCAGCTAGACAATACCAAGAACTGTGCAAAGATCACGTCAAGTTTGACGCAGGTCGTGCAAAGGCTCCCAGAAGCAAACGCAGAAACGAAAGCAATCTGCGCACGGTCGGCACAGCACCGCAAGCCCCCCTGCACGACCCGACCTCGAAGTTCCCGGTGTCGATGTCCGAATCAGACGTAAATAGGAGCTGAACCTGCAGCAGGCTGGGCTGCGTCCTGTCTCGCATGATCTCTTGAAGGCGCGAACCTGCATTCCCCCCATTCGCAGGCCACGGGGCGGATCTTCCGCCTGAAGAAACGCACCAACACAGCAAAAGCCTCTCTCCCATCAGGGGGCGGAACCTCTGCTTCGAAAGCTTGCAACGGCCTGCTACAAGAGAAGCATTTGCAATAAAGGACGGGGCTGCCGGGCACTGAGGCCGGATCGAAGCGATAATTTCTGCCAAACATGGGTCCAGCCTGAGGCACCGAACTGCAAAACACATCCCACGAAGTGACAGTAACAGCACGCAGGTGAGCTCTTTGCACTTTGCCCATCACCCAGCCGCGAACGAACAACACCTCGAAAATACCGCTTTCCTTGCTTGCGACACAAACCTTTGCTAGCAATCTCCAGATGCCTGCTGATCAATTTCTACTTCCTCGACAATGCAGTAGTTGTGTGGATCACCTCCGTCACAACCGCCGAGAGGTGACAGCGCCAAAAGGAATGTTGCTGCGATCATCTTCTGCCCAGGCCTCGCGAAATCAAGCCTCGCTCATGGCCCAGCTGCTTCTGCTGACCCCGAGCAGATGCAGAAGCAGCGGCCAGTGATCTTGGCGCCTCATGGGCTGTGAGATTTGGGTTGCATGTGTCGGGCTCCTTTATCGGAAAGTGCTTCTTTCATGCAGACCAGGCACCGGAGCAAACTCTGAAAGCATCTTTCAGAACGACATATGCAAGAGGCAACATAACCATTGATGTTCACCCGGGACATGTGGCTGCATCTAACCCACTCAATTTAACAATGTTACAATACTTATGTGTGCTGGCGAATTCCCGGTTAAGCTTACCGTCATGTGAGAACACGACAATATGTATGGGCAAACAACTGCATGCTTCGTATGAGCCTTTTCCTGGCCCAACACGACACATCAAACGCCACGTAGTGTTAAGTGGCGGCTCTTCTCGGTGTCACAAGTATGCTTGGGAACTGCACACAACCTATACAAAAAGTCGTGCTCAGGCGGAAACAAAAACAGCCAGCAAAGCAGGAAGTGCCCCTAAGTGCTACCCACCGCGCGGGTGGTGTGTGCTGATGTATATGCGAAGCAAAACAAATGTCGATGTTCCAGCTTGGCTTCAGCTATGCTTCCGTTTGTTTGCCCAACTCCTGCAGTACTTGGCACAAGGTCAACAGAAGAGCAACTAATGTTAATTATCCATCTGGTGAAAAAATATCCTCAACATATGCATCTACATTGTACTGAATATGTACCAGTTTCCTTCACTTCCACGGGCCAAGAAGCTGGATGTTGCTCTGTTTGTTGGGGGTCAAGTCATATCATATCACTTTAGCAAGTCAAGCTTTCAACAAAACACAGATGTCACATGCACCTAGGCGTTCGACTGGGGGGGCTCATATCACGTCAACAGCAGCTCAAGCTACCAGCACACCACGGACGTCAGCAGCTCAATTGCATGTCTGCATTTCAAACTTCAATAATTGTCACAGCCTTACAAGTGGATTCGTGTGAAAACAAAGCACTGATTCAACGGCTCCTTGGACTTGAGAACACTTTACTGTGTGAGTACTCACAATAATGGGCTTCAGCTTTCCAACTGCTGATTTCAAAGCTTGGAATCAAGACCTTCTCAACTCAATGTAAAGGTTGTGCGTTCGATGTCTTGCTAAAAAACAATTTCTTACAAAAAACAAATGTTTGGAGCAAACGTGAACACGTCTGTGCATCTTGCTCCAAACGAACAGTTGCAGTTTTCTTTGGCAAGTCAAGCCGCCAAAAGAAGAGGGCCAAGACTGCAACCGGGCCAGAATCCAAGTCTACCAGCAAATTGGAGCACTTCTCCGCGAGCTTTTCCGGCGATGGGACCGGCGCCTGCATTCCTTTGCTGCATGATCTCACCGCCTTGATGGGCCAGTCTGTCCATCTGAAAGTTTAAACCCTTATACCAGTATACATCTTATAACCACGGCGCGAGCTTCAGATTCTTTTCTCACTCTGAGCTCCGCTGTTGGGCCGTGCTTGAGCCGAGGTTTGACCTGCGGTGAAACACTGGATTCCTGTATGTAAATGTACATGAGGGAAAATTGAACTGTCTGTTACGCCCTCATCGCATACACAGCTTTGTCGTGTAATGCGATCCTTATGAAACTTTTCCTACATCCACCACGGTTCTCGCATGCTCTGGTGAGCCTTCTTCACTTCTCACACTTCTTCTTTGAGCACTTTTAACCGTCTTTGGCTTCTTCTTTCTTCTTCTCGCTTTTTTTGCTTGTTGTGGATGTCGTTGACTTTTCGTCCTGTAAACGGAAACTGTTAGGCTGACCATTGTTTTACAACAGTCGCTCTTGCCAACTACAAACTCAAGCGCTCTCACGACTTGCTGGCTCCACTCTTCATTCTCCTCGGAGTACCATTGACCATCCATCCTGTTCCTCTTCGTTGTCTCCTTCATCCGTATCGTACCAAGCTCTCCAACTTGCTTCGGCATGGTCTCTGATACATTCCGTACAACTGCAGTTAACATGCCCTTGCTTGGCTCGACTGCACAAGCCTTCTCCACACCATGTACAGGGCTGTCCGCAGAGCCTTACCATGAACGTTGTCACTTCTTGGGTCCTCCTTGCTGGTCTATCTTGAGGGTGGCATTTCCAGCAGGACCTAAATCCTCTGCTTAGCGCTTCATTGACGCTCATTGCCTCCGTTTTCGGAGGTTCACTCCACCACATGCATGTCGCTTATGGTAAACCTTCCTCTTTGGATAGACGTAAGAGCATAGGTTTTTGGAGTGTTCCGGAACCCAGGGTTCGAACTCCCGGGGGGCCCGGGGGGGGGGGGGGGAGAACATATAACTCCGGAACTCAGGGTTGAACCCTGGGTTCGAACTTCTCGAACCCAGGTTGAACCTGGAGTTTGAACTCTATGTTCAAACCCTGGGTTCGGGAACTCTATGTTCGAACCCGGGGTTCGGGAACTCTATGTTCGAACCCTGGGTTCGGGAACTCTATGTTCGAACCCGGGGTTTGGAGAACTCCACGTTCCGTCTACAACATAGGTTTCTGGGGGGGTGTTCGAACCCAAGGTTTGGAACTTAGAGTTCCGAACCCAGGGTTCTGGAACTCCGAACTAAGAGTTCGGAGCCTCGCCAGGGTTCGAACATCGAAGTTCCCTCCGAACCCTGGGTTCGAACTTTGAGTTGAACTCCAAGTTGAACTCAACTCCGAACTTCTTGAGCTGGAGTTGAACCTGGAGTTGAACTCTGAAAGGCGAAGAGTTTGAACCCAGGGTTTGAACATAGAGTTTACGAAGGCGGTCCTCAAGAGTTGAGTCCCCAGGTTTCGAACATTGAGTTTCCGAACCCAGAGTTCGAACATGGAGTTTCCGAGCCCAGAGTTCGAACTCTTGTCTCAGGGTTCGGAGGGAACTTCGATGTTCGAACCCTGGCGAGGCTCCGAACTCTTAGTTCGGAGTTCCAGAACCCTGGGTTCGGAACTCTAAGTTCCAAACCTTGGGTTCGAACACCCCCCCAGAAACCTATGTTGTAGACGTAAACCGTGACTTCATTTTCGCCTTTCCTTTTCTGGCTGCACCACTTCACCATGATGTACATCAGCTTAACCGCTTGCTCAATGAGGAAACATGTCCCGACCAGACTCAGCACAATCATCATAACGTCTTCCATCTTTTCTCTTGTGCTCCTTTCTTCGCTTTGATCTTCCTGGATGCACAAACTCCATGCTAAAGCGATTGACCAATTAGTGCTCCTTTTTCATTCTCATCGTCCTCTTCTGACTCGCTTTCTTTTTGACTCTTCTCCATCAGACTCTGGATCCGACGCAGCTTCACTTTCGAGCAAATAAAATGAGAGAACAAGAAGCAATGAGACAAGAGTTCGAACTCTGGGTTCGGAAACTCCATGTTTGAACTCTGGGTTCGGAAACTCAATGTTCGAAACCTGGGGACTCAACTCTTGAGGACCGCCAGAGTTCGAACTCTGGGTTCGGAAACTCTATGTTCAAACCCTGGGTTCAAACTCTTCGCCTTTCAGAGTTCAACTCCAGGTTCAACTCCAGTTCAAGAAGTTCGGAGTTGAGTTCAACTTGGAGTTCAACTCAAAGTTCGAACCCAGGGTTCGGAGGGAACTTCGATGTTCGAACCCTGGGTTCGAGGCTCCGAACTCTTAGTTCGGAGTTCCAGAACCCTGGGTTCGGAACTCTAAGTTCCAAACCTTGGGTTCGAACACCCCCCCAAAAACCTATGTTGTCACTTTCTTCCTTACTCTTTGGCTGCTCTTCTTCTTTGGGATCTTCTGCTTCTTCATCGGTCGCCTTCGCGATCTTGGTTGAGCGACTCTACCACTTTCCAGATATCATCTGCGCTCTCTCTTCTCTTCTCTGCTTGAGTAACCTGTTGATGTACTCAATTGACCTGATGCTTTTGCACCTGTCGGTAATGATCACTTTCAATGCGTCATCATCGGCCATTGCTCTGGCTATTTGCCAACACACAAACACACACCGATCCAGATATGCGGCTACCGACCGTTGGTCTGCCGTTAGCTGTTGCCGAAAGGCAAGACCGGCCGCTTTGCGCTCTTGCGAGCCCACAGCACTTGATAGCTGCCGCGTGGCTACTTTCGTCGGAGCGCAGTAGAGCAGCGAGAGGGGTTGAATTGAGATATAGGTGGCGACAGAGTGTGAAAATCCCATTTGACCTTGGATGTCCTGATGTTTTCGGCATGCCTGAAGCTGTGAGGAGTGCTTTTGAGTTAGAAAGTGACTGCACGTTCGTTTCGTCTCGTTTCGTTAGTGCTTGAAGTGTTTTGCTTGGAGACAGACAGCTGCAAGGTGTTTCACTGTCAGTCAGAGTCCGACGCGACTCCGCTTTGGCTCAAGAAAAAAGACCGAGTGCTGCGCGCTCTGTTTTTCACATGTAGCGAAGCTCCTGAGGACTTAGAAGGAGCTTTACAGCGCCATGGCCTCGCCCTTGCCAGGTGGGAGCAGTGAGACTCCTGCTCAGAACGTCCCTGTGCCTGAGCAAGGCATGGACTTTGACTTGTTTGGACCAGGACCCGTGGGACCTGTAGGACCTGTGAACAGTCCTGCTGGGTCGTTGACAGCTCAGCAAGCAGCAGCGGCTGCGCCTGCGAGTGGTTCTGCAACAGTGCCAGAAGGTGTGAGTGGTCCGGCTGTAGCGCCGGCGGCTCCTGCTCAGTGTCCGGTTCCTCCGAACCCTGCGTTGGGAGGTGAACAACTGCAGCAGTTGATGTTGCAGATGCTGAACAACCAGAACACGGCTTTACAGCAACAGCAGAATCAGATGAACTTTCTGATGCAAGCTCAGAGTGCTCAGTTGACCCTCTTGAACCGCCGTTTGGACGAGGAAGAAGCCAGACGGAAAGCCGACGAGGATCGGCGAAAGGTGTCTTCGGACCCCTTTGCAGCTGCAGTGGCTGCTAGCAGTTCAGGAGCAGCGCCGACGGCGCCTACTGGGTCGCTTGTTGCCCCTCCGAGTGGGCCTGCTGCGAGTTCTGGAAGTTTTTCGAGTTTTGGTGGTCGTGCAGAGAAGTATCTGCCACCCCTGCCTCTCATCAATGCTGGTGAGATGAAGCAAGGCCGGATCCGGGAGCTTGAGGAGTTCCACCGCTTTCTGGAAGTGCTGTCCAGCTGGCTAGCATTGACCGATGACGCCTTTGTTGG